TACTACCACTCCTACTACTACTACTACTACTACTACTACTACTACTACTACTACTACTACTACTACTACCAATACTACGACTGCCACTACTACTGCCACGACCACTGCAACTAATGCACCTTCTCCTCCACCTTCTCCTCCATTTCCCCTTCCTCCTCATCATCCTTCTCGCTCCACCCTCTCGCTCCTCCTGCTGCTCCTCGTCTTCCTCCTCCTCCTGACGGAAGCGGGGAAGGCTTCCTGGCTCTGGCCCACCTTCTCCAGCTCGACGGTGTCGGGGATGAACCCCGTGCGGCGCAAGCCGTAGCTGGCCTTGCCCTGTGTGTCTATCTCGTCGTAGAAGACCTCTGCGGCTGGACGGCTAGTGCGGGGCACGAGAAACGGCAGCCGGGGGGGTAGCGGCAGCGGCGGGGGCAGCAGCCGGAGCAGGAGCAGCAAGACGCCTCGAGCCCCAGATGCGTTTGCTTTCCGTGGCCAAGCCCCCGCATGTTGGGCCTTCCAGGCAGAACAATGGCCCCCAGTGCCAAAAGCTTGGGAAGGGGGGGGGGGGTCCACGGAGGAGGACCTCCTCCTCCTCCTCCTCCTCCTCCTCCTACTCCTCCTCCTCCTCCTCCTCCTCCTCCTCCTCCTCCTCCTCCTCCTCCTCCTCCTCCTCCTCCTCCTCTCTCTCTCTTCCTCTCCCCCTCCCCCGAGGCGCCGCCCGCCACCTCCACCCCCAGCCCGGCCGAGTGCGGTGGCGGAAGTGCGCGGCATCGCAGCTGGATTTCGCCGCCTCAGGCTGCCGATGTCTGACAACAAAGTTGCAAGGCTGTAGTCAACGCCGGTCGGAAGAAGTAGGCAAACACATGAATTAGGAAGGCAGATCAAGTAGATCGGGTTAGGGCCCTCCCAGAGATCACGAAACGCAGCCAAGCATATCGGTTCTTGAAGTAGGAAGGCGCCTGAATTAGATTGGGATCTGGGGGTCCAAAAAGACCCCACTTGCAACGACCGCGTGTAAAGGGGGGATGAGGATGCGG